TTTTATTATAAAACCAATTATTGACATTTAATAGAGTATTCTTTTTTCAGACTTCTAGAAAGCTTTTCCATGTTTATGATATCAGAAATAGGTGCATCCACCCTGTTTCACTCTTTAGAACTGTAAGTTTATGGGAAAAAAACCATTCTTTTAAGTGCTCAAAAAGCTGAGGAATAAATCAAGTTCCTCAAATAATTGTCTTTTTTCCCTCAGGCATTGAATAAAAAGAAGAATACGTAATGTATAGATAATCCTAATTATAATAGAAATAAGTGAGCAATTCTATGTATCATTTGATTTTGCCATCATATTCAATAACAAACTAAAATCTTATATTAAATTTACATGAAACTTCTAATAAATACATCATTTTTTACAAATACAGATGTATTCAGAGAAAAATAGACTAGAAAAGCCTATATCCCACTTCATTTCCGAAAAAAACACACATATGCTTGGACACATGCACACATGTACATTTTTGGAAGGGGGGGAGGGAAAAAAGTCACCAAAAATGTCCCAACTTTATTTTTTGGTAGCAATTACTACCTTTCCCTTTAGAAAGTAATGATTTGTGTTTAATAGTTGTGGCTTTTTTAAAAAGATTTTTATTCTTAAGTAATCTCTAGGGCAGCCCGGTGGCTCAGCGGTTCAGTGCCGCCTTCAGCCCACGGCCTGATCCTGGAAACCCGGGATCGAGTCCTATGTCCGGCTCCCTGCATGGAGCCTGCTTCTCCCTCTGCCTGTGTCTCTGTCTCTCTCTCTCTCTCTCATAAATAATTAAATAAAATATAAAAAAAAGTATAATCTCTACACCCATTGTAGGGTGGAACTTACCACCCCAAGATCAAGAGTCGCATTCTCTAGCAAATGAACCAGCCAGCTCTCCCCCTCCACCCCCCCCCCCCATTGGTTGTGGCTTTGAATGAAGTTCTCTCCTGTCAGTTCTGGGCAGATTGCAAATTCCATCCCCGCCCCCCTTTTTTTCCCTCTTGGGAGGCAACATAATATTTTGAAGAGATGAGGTTCTTAAGTCATACAGGTTTTTCCACATGCTTCATTTGTAATATTGGCAAACAGTTTAATTTTTAGAGCCTCCATTTTCTTTTAACTACAAAGACAGAATGATTTCATACATTTTTTGATGAATAAATGTCCAAGGTAGCCATCGTATATTGAGACGTGTTCTGAACCAATCTCATTACATGTCCCTTTGTTACCATTAATCCTCATAACAGCACTGAGGGTAAAAGTTATTCTAGCCCCCATTTGATCCAGGAGTGCTTAGGTAAAATGTTTATTACAGTGCCCAGCTCAGTAAATTGTGGTGGTGGTGATGGTAGTAATAATACTAGTCATTGCAGTTGCTGCTTTGTCCCTGATCATCTTACAGCCCCATGTTCCCAGTTTAACCGAAGAAATTTAAGGATATAATGAGGTAGCCAGTTTAGGGGACACAAGATTCAAAGACAGGTTTATTTCATGATCTGTGCCATTAAATGTTATGCCATTTTGTTAGGGTATTTTGAGATTTTAGATTTGCTAAATGTTGGCACTGTGCATAAAGGCATCTCATTCTTAATGGGACACTATTTTCAAATTATATTTGAAAGTGGTTTGGTGTTCATTTTCTTCTGAAAACATGCTGATATGTTACCTAAAAGGCACATTTTACCCTTAGCATATGGGTTTCTGTACACTTACATCAGGGAATCACTTCAATGACTTAGCTAACTGACTACCTGGCTAATTCTTCAACTTAGTTTAGGTATTTCTGGTTGCCTGGTTTTATGCATTGCATTTGGTATAATAGCATGTTCTTAGTAAATTATATTCCTCAAGTGTAGTAACTATATGGGTTATTTCTGTGCCTCTTCTAAATTTTTCTTATTATTGCTAATGAAGATAATCTTAACATTTTAACTAATGATTCATACAGTTTTACATCTAGAATTTAATCTGAAGTCTTATTTTCATAAATCAAATAGTAGAAATAGAATATTATTATATAATTTATAATCACATTATTTAGCAATATAAATTCCACAGGGTCTGTTACTTCATATTTATTTTTAGCCTGAACTATGAATTTATTTCTAATTAATAAAAGGTTATGTTTCTACTTCAGGGAGATTTAAACTATAAAAGACAAGTTGGGGGAAAAAAAACACTGACATGTGATCCATTTTTCTCAATACTGTATACTTATAGGAATTAAGATTCTCAGAATACCACTAACAAGTATATTATTTATTGGGACATGTGGGTTATTGACTAGTTTTACTTTATGTTTATTAGATAAGCAGTTAAGTATTGAGATTTCATAGAAAGCATAGCAGTACACTGAGAATGGTGCAAGCCCTTAGGGATGCTGAAATATAATAATAATTCATAGACTTCTAAGAAGTAACTAGCAGTTTTTGTTTGCTCAGAATTCAGCAAGTACATTTAAAAGTCTGATTCATTCGAAATGCTCTAAATTAAATTAGAAAGTAACCTTTAGCAAAATGTGTATCATCCACTTTGCAGACTACTGTATAAAAGTTTTACATGTATAAGAACCACTTTACATGATATTTTTCTCTTGTATTTCTCTTACAACTGTGAATAGCCATGAAAATGAGCAATAGCATTAGTGTTACAGCTAGCCTTCAGAATATTCACTTAGTGCCAACATGAGGTGTACACTGCCATTAAAACCATTTCAATTTCACAGTTTATGAAGTACTTCCTCTTACATTCTTCATCTTCATAGTAACCCAAGGAGGAGGACAAGTGTAGTAGGTAGATATTGGTCATTTCTGTGGGCCCAGCACCCCAAGACCATCCCCTCTTGGGGGAAAGCCCTGTGATGAGAAGGATGGAAGGTACGGCTCTGCCTCCCTCTCCTGAAACCAAAGGAGAGCAGCCATTCTCCAGCTCTAATTCAGCAGCTCACAGGCTCTCCCATGACTGAGCCTCAGCCAATGAGACAAACCTGCCCGAGTGTTTTCTTGGAAATGAATGAATCAGCGCTCCTGAGGAGAGATTGGGCCTCACTCCAGCCAAAGGAAAGGCAGGTGAAGCCTGTGCCCATGGCAGTGGAATCAGCTGGGCTTTCAGAGTCCAGGCCAAACAGATGCAACTTGCATGTTTTGACCAGACTCCTTTGTTTCTGCCCATTTCCCCCAAGATTGTTCAGCCTCTTCCCTTAACTAACCATCTCATATTTCTCTCTCATGTTTAACTTAACTATAGTAGATTTTGGAGGGCACCTGGGTGGCTCAGTGGTTGAATGTCTGCCTTTGGCTCAGGTCATGATCCCAGGGCCTTGGGATCGAGTTCTGCATTGGGGTGCCCATGGGGAGCCTGCTTCTCCCTCTGTCTATGTCTCTGCCTGTCTTTCCCTGTCTCTCATAAATAAATAAATAAATAAATAATAAATAAATAAATAAATAAATAAATAAATGAATGATGAATGAATAAAAATAAAGCCTTTAAAAAACCAAAACTATAGTAGGTTTTGGTTATTGCCACCCAGAACATAGGTATAACAAGTACTGCTATTCCCAATATAGATGAAGAAATTTACCCTCAGTGAGGTTAAGTAACTTCCTTGAGTTGTATAATCATGTAGAAAAGCCAAGTCCAGAACCCATGACTTCCAGATCATGGGTTGTTTCTTTCACAACACACTGTTTTCCCAGCAGCCTTCAGTGGCCTCAACAGATAGTGAGGAGGCTCCACTGCTTCTTGATTGCAGTACTTAGTCCCATTTCCTGTTACAATGCTTATCTGCTTGATGTCAGCAGTGCCTGTCTTCTACACCACGGCTGCTAAGCATCTGGAAGACAAGGATTGTTTTACAGTCATCATTTTCTCTCAAACATATATTGGAGTGCCTGGATGCAGAGTCAGTACTAAATAAAGATTGTAATGAATGAGTAGCAAATGAGTGCATAAATTATTCAATTAAATGAAAACACCAATGTGGGCTTGAAGCTGATGCTAAAAGTATAACACTGATTTTACAAAACACCACGATGTTCTTTACCAATCAAAATCTTAAACTATAAATAATTTCCTTAAATATATAAAGATGCTCACTTGATAAGCATTGATTCCGTGGCTACTATGTGTCAGGCTGTTATTACAGAGAGAAATAAGAATTCATCTCCCCCGTTAAGAGGTCTCACAGACTGATGGGAGGAACAGATATTCCATAGCTCAGATCATGAGAGCTATGATTAGGGCAGTAGGCCCACAGTCAGCAGCCATGAGAACCACTGAACTGGCCTGGTGATACCCCTCTGGGCAGGTCACTGTGGACATCAAGGAAAACAGTCAACCTTTTGAAAGCTACAGAAAAAGCACAATATACTTTGCCTTTCCAGACTGTTGTGAGATATGCTTAAAAAAAAAAAAAAAACTATGAAGAGCCCCTGGGAGGCTCAGTCAGTTAAGCATCTGACTCTTGGTTTCAGCGCAGGTCACGATCTTCAGTTCCTGAGATCAAGACTTGCCCATCTGGCTCCATGATCAGTACAGCCTCTATTTCTCTGCCTCTCCCTCTGCCCTTCCCCCTGCCCATACTCTCTCTCTCTCTCTTTTTCAAATAATAAATAAATCTTAAAAAAAAAAAAGTTATCTGCACCCTCATTCAGACATAATTATTTTTAAAAAGGTTATAATCAGGCATATCAAATTTTAAAAATAATTTTGAAATAGCTTTGAACAATATGAGACTAATGCATAAGACTATATTTTGGTTTGGCAAAAGGTGAAAATGAAGATAAATCTGTATCTTTATTTAAGCATTAAAGCCCAATATAGTAAAAGCAACAAATGAAGATACATATAAAAATGTGAAAGGAGACAAAGCCATATATCTGTATGCATGTAAAATACACGTATATGTAAGAAACAGGATACACATTTATCAATATAATTTCTATTTTTTACAAACTGTACACACAGTAAGAGAAATATCTAACTCCCGAAAGTTTTGGTATCATTTGCAGACAATTACTACGGCACGCCAAAGCCTCCAGCAGAACCAGCACCATTATTATTAAATGTAACAGACCAGATACTTCCGGGAGCCACTCCAAGTGCTGAAGGAAAACGGAAGAGGAATAAATCAGTGAGCAACATGGAGAAAGCCAGTATAGAGCCTCCCGAGGAAGAAGAGGAAGAGAGGCCTGTGGTCAATGGAAATGGAGTAGTAGTAACACCAGGTTAGTCATTTATACATATGTACATATTTATATGTATGATTATAGTTAACCTCAGAGAGAGAGAGGATTCTAATATCAAATGCAAAGGACATAATTCTTTTATCCCTTTTATTAGTTTTAAATTCGACATATAAAGCAATTAGTTTAGGTTCCTCGGTTTTTTGTTTCATATACACAGTATTAATAGAAATATAATGAATTATTTCTATATTTTAGAAAATATTACAAGTCATGAATATGACTGTATAAAGTTCTGGGATCTTTGCTAATTAAAATTAGGTAAAATCTATCCTTAGAAATCTTACTATACTCACTGTTCTGGAAAAAGAGGTTGTTTCATGTGATTTAGTTAACAACTTCAATGAACACTGTACTCAAAATGACTAGAGCTACACCATGTCTGTATATTTTTCTCTCCACCCTTACTATCTAATCTGGCAATGTGGAGAAAGCATCTTTAGATATTGACTTCGTAAAGGCACCTACCCTTGACAAGGAAAAGGCTTGTTATCTTTTTTTATTTATGATCTATCATATCACATATATAAAGAAGAGCAGGCAGATATAAAGTGTGTTTGCACAAGGGTATGGCTTTGCTATTTTCTTGTGCTTATTACTAACCGAGTGCCAAATTTTATTATAATTATAAAATTAGTTTTTTTCCTTACATTACTTATGATTAAATGTTAAAGCAAAACTATGGCATTCTTTTTTATATACTTTTTTTAAAGACTTTATTTATTTATTCATGAGACAGAGAGAGAGAGAGAGAGAGAGAGAGGCAGAGACAGAAACAGGCTCCATGCAAGGAGCCCGATGTGGGACTTGATACCGGGTCTCCAAGATCACACCCCGGGCTGAAGGCGGCACTAAACTGCTGAGCCACCCAGGCTGCCCTAACTATGGCATTCTTATAGCTTCTAAGCTTGGAGTAAATTTCCAAAGTTTTATTAGTTATTTATTTTTTAATAACAGCGTACTAGTAGGCATTAAAAATCTAAGAACTGAAAAGCTCTTGAAAAAAATGTTGACACATGAACTTCGCATACATATTATTATTTTTTAAAGATTTTATTTATTCATAGAGACGAGAGAGAGAGAGAGAGAGAGAGAGAGAGAGAGAGAGGCAGAGAAGCAGGCCCCATTCAGGGAGCCCGAGGTGGGACTCGACCCTGGGTCTCCAGGATCACACCCCAGCCTGCAGGTGGCGCTAAACTGCTGCACCACGGGGGCTGCCCCGCATACATATTATTAATAATAATAATATATTTCCTACAACTATTTTGATGTCTCTATTTTTAATTATCATTGTACCGTTTCTATAGTGACATAGTATTTTAATTTTCATGCTCTATTATTTTTATCAACATTTCATAAGCTTATTTCTTAACCTTCCTTATTCATAATTACCTACAAAAATGTTTTTCCTCAAACATAGGGAGACCAAAATCTAATCTATTCCAATCAGTGTGTAAAACCTTAAAAAGTGATTTCATCTTGAGTTCTCAGAGGAGGACAGCCTCCTCCATAAATGCAATGGTAAAAAACTTATGCTCTGTTCCTACCAATCACTGATTTCTGGATATAAATGCTAAAGATCACTATTGTACCTAATGTAACTTGCTTACTGAAGACCCTGTGCCGGAAAAAAATGTGATGCGGTTCAGAAGGTGAAGAACTAAGTAAATGTTTCTGAGAGGAAAGCAATTTATAGGTCTATAGGTAATTTTCAAGCAATTAGATACCTTTTCTGTTCTGATTCTGAAATATCTTTGTCAAAATATTTATTTTTCATTATGTAATGGATTTTGAATTAAGTTGGTAGTACATAGTTTTCTTAGCTATCTTCGATTTGAGAAGCAAAATGATTCAGCCAAGTGGAAGCAGTAATCACAAAAAAAACAAAGTTGGAGATCAAAAAGCAGTTACAGAGTTTGTTACTGATTAATACCTTACAGCTAAAAACATAAAATATTTGCCCTTGGTTGGGCCTGAATCGTTGGTTTCTATTGCATTTCTACTCTGTATAAGGCAAATCAAATGAAGTATTCTTGACATAGATTTATTTGTAAATTAGAAATTTATTTAATTGGGGGTCATAGTAAATGTAGAAAGCACCATTCCTTTCAATTCATACATTAGACGTAAGGAATTGGGTTTGGTTTGTTTGTGAGTTTGGGCTAGGCAGGAGGGGTCCTAAGGAAAATGGATTGGTTTGCACTCTTCTTAAGCAGCCCTAACAGTATGTCTATCCCCGGACCTCTCAGCCTGAGGACGGTAGAGAACAACTACCCAGGCCAACTCTGGGATGTCTGGATAGTCAATAGATGCCACAAATGCTTACAGATGCTTGCAGTGGCTCTGTAAGCCTGGCTGGACTTCTCTGTCCCTTATGGGAGATGAGACATATGTAAATTAGGTGGCTCTTTGCCCAGTGTTCAAAGATGGAGAAAACAGCCCCAAACCAGAACGTGGTCCTTCATCCTTTATTAGAAATCTTTGTTTCTCTTTATATTTATCCAATAGAAACTTTAGGGTTCACATTGCCTCCTTCCCATATATATTCACTCAGATCTTCATCTTTTGAACTTTGTCACATTTTTTTCTGGCATAGGGTCTTTATCCTGCCTTTTTTCTTCCCATACATGTTTACCAGATGTAAGACACTTTAAACAATATTGAGAAAATTCTTGCTTAAATTTTAGTTACCGCCCTGTATCAACTAAGAGCCTATAATACTAATTAACATCAGATGTCAATTCAGAGCATAAATAGTATAATCGATGAGGTGCATTTAGAAAGTGAGAAAAGCTTACTGAGGTACTTTTATTCCATTACATAAAAATGCTGATGATACCGATAATAAATAATGTAAAAATTAACCTCTTGTGCATGCTAACCATGTGCTAGGAACTCTTTAACTTCATTATGTGTAGTAGTTCAGTTATTTCTCCTAACAGATTTTACGGGTTAGGTACTATTTCATAGAATAGGACACTGAGGCACACTACTGTTAAGTAATTTGCCCAGAAACTGGGATTTATTTATAGGAAATATCGATCCAGAAGCATGTTCTTAGCTGCTATGCTATCTGAGTGTAATAGCACCAATAGAAGCATAAATACATTTCTCAGCAACATGTACGTACATGATTATTATTTTACTTGTACCTCTTTAAAAGTGGCATTATTAGTTTCTACCTACTACAAGTTTCTTATTTCTTTCATTTCTGGAAATCATGTACGACTCAACTTATGTGGCCCTGTGGTTATTAAAAAAAATCCTATTTTTAAAAAATATTCTGCATGCATTTAAGCATCAAGCCTACCAATCTTGGGCAGCCCCGGTGGCATAGAGGTTTAATGCAGCCCGGGGTGTGATCCTGGAGACCCGGGATTGAGTCCCATGTCAGGCTTCCTGTATGGAGTCTGCTTCTTCCTCTGCCTGTGTCTTTGTCTCTATGAATAAATAAAATCTTAAAAAAAAAAGCCTACCAATCTTTAACTCCTTACGTTTTACTGAAATGAATTATTCTCGCTAGGTAAATAAAGGTTTTAGAAGAGTCCTCAATTTACTTCTACTACTCGTTTTCTTCATCGCTTCTCCTTTAGACTTAAACTTAGAACTATACATTCCTTTTAGTTTCAGTCCATATTTATGTAAAGTTTGTGTACATGAAGCTCTGCTGACCTGTAACATTGTCCATGAATAGTCAAGTATTTTAAGTGAATAATTAATGTTAGCCTCCCTTTTTTGGTTGGAATTACATCAAACAGATGGAGTTAGCCCATATCACCTAGAAAAGCCATGGGATGATCTTTCAGTGTCTCAGATCAGAAATGTTTCTCTCTCTGACATATGTCACTTTGATGATAGAAATCAGTATTGTTCCACCCTTAGAAATGTAGCTCTAACCTGGTTAATACTGAAAGTCACAAAAATAAAAATGAAAATAAATAATGGCAACTCTCCTTTAATGAATGCATAAGATGTGCTAGACATATAGTCCATACGTTATTTCTTGTCCCATAACCATGGTATGCTTACTTATCAAAGAATATGCTGAAACTTAGCTTAAGGTACTTAACTAAGGTAATAGTAACAGTGTAAAGATCTGGACCCAGGAACACCCGAACTCGTCCTGTCCCCATCACCTTTGCTGGGCTGTTAACCATGTTGAGGACAGCATGACTCCTGACCTCCGTAAGGTAAAATCACAGTCTTTCAGCTCAGTGTATTTCATTACATTGTATTCTGTTATATTTGTCCTTCAGTGAATGTGTGGCTGCAGTGTTAGATCTAATGCTTGCAAAGATGATACAGCTTTACATCATCTTAGAAAATCTGTCTTTAAACTGATACTTAAAATTCATATCCCCAGGAAACCTTTCCTTGACATTAACCTCACCTATATTTAGGCATCTTTATCTTGTTAGAGTTGACATCCAGCCCCATAGCTTCAAATACTGTCGATTACCCATAGCCTTCACTTTCCTCTAATGTCCCAGGGCCATATCTCTAACTGCTGCCCACTGGACTGCCCCTCCTAAGCATTTCTGTAGCATCTTAAATGCAACATTCCACTTAAATTCTTCTCCCATAAAACAAGCAAATCAGCTCATAAAGGCCTTTATTTGATTTTTCAAATTCTTGTTTTCACCCAAATAGCTCAGATACTTCTTTCCCCCAGGCTTCCTGTATATTATTAGATATAACAGATCACTGAGCCTGTAGCTTTAATCTCTTTTTTTCCCAAATATCACCATCCTAGATTGCTGCCTTATCATATTTGTGTCCCCTAAGGGATCTACATTCCTCCAGGCTCTGTCCCTATCAAGTGGCCTATTAATCTTCCATCAATTAAAGATTCTTGAACCAGCACTTGATCACATAACTATCCTCCCAAAACTTGGATGAGCTTCGATTTCTACTGCTCCAAACTCCTTGGGTAACCCCTCAGGTCATCCCATATTTGACTCCAACATCTCTGTTAGCTTTGC